GTCACTCCACTGCTTTCCTCGACGCACCTTCTCCTTTATGCGCCTCACACGGTTGGAGAGGTATTTTAATTGGTCGTGATCTCTTACGGAGGGGGCTTTGCTGGTGTATTGGAGATGGCACGTCCGTATCAGTTTGGGAGGATCAATGGCTCTTGACAAAAACAGCTCTGGCTTCCATAGGACCTCCAACGCTATCAAACTCTCAACTCTTGGTGAGCGATCTTCTGGTACCATCTTCCAACGAATGGAATTTATCGGCGATAAGAGCCCATTTACCTCAGTATGAGGATGTTATTAGAAAGCTAGTCCCTAGTGGTAATCATATGCAAGACTCACGGGTTTGGCTACCAGAGAAGTCAGGGGTCTACTCATCTAAATTAGGCTATGCTCTGCTTCAACATAGGCCAATCGTAGCTCCAACTGACTTCAATTGGAAAAGGTGCATATGGAGTTTGAAAATAGCGCCTAAAATTAAACACTTCATGTGGAAGATCATCAACAAAGCACTCCCCGTTAGCAGTAACTTGGCTCTACGTGGCATCACAGTGACAGACAGCCTGTGCAAGAGGTGTAACCAACAAGAAGATGAACTCCACTTGCTCTTTTCTTGTCCGTATGTCGCTCGAGTCTGGGTGTTGAGTCCTGCTCTGTATAAGCCGCAACCAGAGGATATCGAGTCTTCGGGTAAGTTACTACAAGAGCCGGTGAAGATGATTAATTTACCTCCTACTGGAATAGGATCCACACCTTTATACCCTTGGCTGCTATGGAATCTCTGGAAAACGCGGAACCAATTGGTGTTTGAAAATCGATCGTATTCAGAAGAAGAAACATTGCTCAAATCGATTAGAGGCACGGGAATGGCATCAAGCTCAGTCTCATATCACGAAACCAGTTAAAACTGCAATGGCTCGACCAATCCCAAGGCTCCCTGAAGTCTCTAACGGATTCGTCGATGCAGCTTGGATCGCATGCACATACGACTGTGGAATGGGATGGCTTTTCACGAATATAGAGCAAGAAGATATGTTTCAGGGTACTTCTTATAGAAGGCACGTCGGATCAGCACTGTGCGCGGAAGCTCTAGCACTGAAAGGGGCGTTAGAGGATGCAATCGCAGCCGGTATTCAAGAGCTGAACATGTTCTCCGACTCTCAAGTTCTTATTTCCCTCACTAACTCGGGTACTTCTACCATCGACATTAGGCTCTTAAGTTCATCTTTTGAAGCTATTTCTTTTACGCTTATCTCTCGTGCTAACAATGTTAAGGCTGGTGCTTTAGCTAAGACAACACTTTTATCTTGTTGTAACTCCTCGTGTGATGGACGTAAACACTTTTCTCATTTATAAAACCAGTTTGATCAAAAAAAGAAGTTCGTTTTTCATGCGTAACAAAACTCGTGCGTAGATCTCATCATCGTTCGAGTAAGAGGCAATACATGTTCTTATGGTGCGTTTCATTGCCGAACAAATGAAACGCACCATAAGAAATAATGTCTTCCATTGAACATCTTTTGACTAATTATTTTCTAGCAATTCAAGTAACCCAAAAAAAAAAAAAAAATTCTTCATTAATATTGTATTGATCTTGAAAGTATCCTAACGGTTATTCTAAAAAATACTTAGTTTACAAAACAAAATTGACCGCACATGAACCCTATGTTTCCAACTTTTATCCGAAAAGATTGATATCTTCTTGGGTTCCACATGTAAGAAGATTGAATCGTTACTGAAAAGTTAAATTGGATTACTTAACTTAGATATTCGGTATTAGTCGATTTATAAACTAAACAAACCGCCCTAAACCGTTCTTCAACAAATGTATTAACAATGAAACATCACTGAAATTTGACTGACGTGAAACATTGATGATTCTACTTCTAACTTTACAAGTTGAATACCTAAAAAACAGCTGAAGGTTTTGGATATACAAATTCCCATAGCTTGCACACTTCTTGTTTATAAACCCCAAAGGCTTCAAGGACAATCACAACATGATATCAATCAATTTTTTTCATGGACAGGCCAAAGTGAATGCAATCGAAATCTTTTTTCAAGGCAACAGAGTTTTCTAACGGATTCTTCATTCCCGGTGTCTCGCCTTGGAGATTGTTTTGATCAATCCTTTGGTGATTTTCCAGAACCAAATGAGATTCATCACTGCCAGAGCCGGTGGTATCGTAAGAAGGCTGTAAAATCCCAATGGAAACACTTGCCTCACCTGCGCAAAACCAACTCTTTTATTAGATTCACGTCTCTAAATTGTATCTTCCTCTCGAGTTTTTTGTTACTCAAACTCAACATCGATAAATTACCTGATGGAAATGAAGGTACATGTGAACAAAGAAGTAAATGAACAAAAGGACCCTTGCCAACTGAAAAGAAAAAGAGACATTTGGTTTAACTTTCCGCAGATGCTAAAACAGAACGATTTTGTTTTGGTCTATTTAACAGTACCAGCCAACCCAAGAACAGGGCAATCCCGTTGACCGTGTAAGCCTTAGAGCCTTTTTGACCACTAGTATCCAAGTACCTGCCATTAACACGCTTGATGTTTAGAAACAGCGAATATTTAAAACCACCAATAACACATATTTGTGAAAGGCCTTTCTAACTCCGGAAAACTTACCACCGTAGGTTAACAAACGGGGTTGTAGCCTCTGAAAAGAGAACTATGAATATGTAGAACTGACTTTGTCCGCTTGTGACAGAAAGAATGATCGAGAACATCGATAAGCCATGATGAAAAACCTTTAAATAGGTAACAAAAGAAAACCACCATTAGCTTATACCCTATCCATTCACCCCGTAAACAGCGATAAAAGGAAAGCGGGGTTAAATGCCAACTCTTATCAACATTTATCGACGAATATGGAAAACATTACATGATATGCTTTCATACTTACATATTCAATACCACCAAGAGTAGGAAAATGCCAAAAGATCATCGCTAAGTCAGCTAGAAAATAGCCTAAGGAGAGCTGTTAAGAGTCGAAATTTATCAGAACAAATGCAGAGCAAAACACAAAGAAAAGATGATCTATTTGCCTGAAAAACTCACCCCCATTACAGATTCCGATAGCCTCGTAGTACTATTGATGACTAAATCGCCATGAACATTCTCATCGAATTGATCTGATATCACCAGGATGTAGATTGAAGCCACAGCAACAACAATAGCATGAAAAGTTGAGAATCCCCTGTGGAAACAAAAGACCAAACATCTCTTCCTCAAAACAATCCATAAAAGAAGATCAAAACTCAGATGCGAAGATAAACGAATTCAAACCTGTTGTTCCATTCCATTCTAACTTTGCTTTCGAGTTTTCCATAAGCACTAAAGATCAATGGACTTATGAAACCAGTCAAGTCATAAACCTTCCG